CCAACAAAAAAATGCACTAAAATTGCCTAAAGTGTTTAAGATTCCCGATTTCTTGAATTTTGTTATTTGAACGAGCGCCCGATTTTAGCACGACGACTCACATATAACTTCAAGAACTGAGCGTTGAAGTCTATTGATGCAAGCAGTCAGAAGGAAGCTGTACTAATGAGGCAGTGAACGAGGTTTTTCCCAAGGTTTGATCCACAAGCTCTGAGGTCAGAGAACATTCCAGAAAAATTGAAGTGTTTCCCGATGAAGACTGCAGCACTCTTCATAATATGTTTGGCATCGTTGGGAAATCAGTCGCTTGTCATAATAATAAAATCGATAAATACGTCATTTTCCCGTCCATTGCGTAATTTAAAAAATATTTTCGTTTTTCCCTCCCCACCCCCCCTTTTTTTTTTTTGCTCAACACATTTTAGACCCTTTTAAAAGCATATTCTTGTGTGAAATTTTTCTGAAAAACTTTGAACAAAGGCCCGGGAACTGCATATTTGCAGTTTCCAAAGGGGACCAAATCTGTAGAAGTCTCTGAACTTTGGTTGTCATTTTTCATCTGAAACCAAGCGATCCCCATATCCTTGAATAGCAAATAAATATCTCAACTTCTATTCACGTTAGATGCATGAGATTTCCTTGGGAAGCATGGTAAATGAACAGGCTTTAGGATTATATGTACCCCAATACGACAAGTAATTCCACTTGGCCACAATAAATTGTCGAGCGCCTCATTCCACCACGTCGTGACACATAAATTCTACAGCCTGTTATGACTGAGACTCGCATCAGAATGTCCCGGGCTTCTTGTGTCTGGTTCGACTCTTCATTGTTCTGAGAGATACATAATATTATTATTTTTGTTAATGTTGTTTATTCTTATGTTCTTTAAAATATATCCATTTAATGTGAGAGCCTAACAAACTGCACCGCTGTAGTATTTTCCCTGGGAGCCGAAATGATAACGTGGAGCGAAAAAAAATCGGGGCCATGATGTATTGTGAAGCCCTGTGCGCTTTCAAAAGGGCGGGGTGGAGAGGGCTGTGGGGCTGGGGGTAGGGGAAGGTTTTAAAATACCCGTGACATTTATGCAATAATATGCTCTATTTGTGATACATGAGGACAAGAACTAGCTTTTGGCAAAATAAACTACTAAAGAATGAGATGGATATTTACATGCGTTAGAAGCCAAAAACAGTCTAGACATTACAAAGATAGTCTACATTACCATCTCTAACGGGCCAATTTATCGTTGTCGTAAGGGGCTCTGTCGTCTGTTACAAACAACTTCCTGTCATTACCCCATGTGACGTCATTCAGTAATGGCGGTCGATAGTGAGGTGTTTGTCAACTGAATGGCTGCTGGAGGATCCACTAAGTATCCGACTATAGTACCTCATTTCTCTGTCTCGATCTATATAGTCAATTTCTCTCTATTCTTCTGTCTATTTCTCCATCGTGTCTCCCTCTGTCTCTCTCTCTCTCTCTCTCTCTCTCTCTCTCTCTCTTTCTCTCTCTCTCTTTCTCTCTCTCTCTTTCTCTCTCTCTATCGCTTTCTCTCTCTCTCTCTATCTCTCTCTCTCTGTCTCTCTGTCTCCGTCTATCTCTGTCTCTGTCTGTCTGTCGGTCTGCCTCTGTTTGTCTGTCTGTCTTTCTGTCTGTCTGTCTTCTTTTTCTTATTCCTTCTGTCTTTCCATCTCTCTGTCACTCCCTCTCTCTTTCCCCTCCCTTTCTCTCTCCTCGTGCTTCTCCTGCAACCTCGCTGATTCCATCTCTCTCATAAAATGACGACATTTCTTTAACAGAGAAAGGTGTAGCGTTTCTCTTCTTCTCTAGAAGGTTTCATACAACTGAAAACTGAGCTCTGGGGATCCTAGCGAGCTTGGAACCAAAGCAACTCAGGAAGGCAGAACGGAAGAGACAGGGTGTTTTATTGCAGACGGTCCGATAAGCGACGTCTACCTGCTAAGAAGAAGAAGAAGAAGAAGAAGAAGAAGGAGAAGGAGGAGGAGGAGGAGGAGGAGGAGGAGGAGGAGGAGGAGGAGGAGGAGGAGGAGGAGAAGGAGGAGGAGAAGGAGAAGGAAAAGGAGAAGGAGAAGGAGAAGGAGAAGGAGAAGGAGAAGGAGAAGGAGAAGGAGAAGAAGAAGGAGCACGAGCACGAGCACGAGCACGAGAAGGAGAAGGAGAAGGAGAAGGAGAAGGAGAAGGAGAAGGAGAAGGAGAAAGCGTAGGTAATCCAGTTGTCAAGACCTACTCAGTTTTTAAAATTTTGAGTTTAGTTTCAGCAAATGTCATGTCCCGAAGATTAGTGGTATTACCGGAGAGTTACATGCGAAGAAAAGAAGGAGAGATAAGGATGATAGACGTTTGATAGGGAAGAAGGAGGAGAGACAAGGATGATAGACGTTTGATAGGGAAGAAGGAGGAGAGACAAGGATGATAGACGTTTGATAGGGAAGAAGGAGGAGAGATAAGGATGATAGACGTTTGATAGGGAAGAAGGAGAGATAAGGATGATAGACGTTTGATAGGGAAGAAGAAGGAGAGATAAGGATGATAGACGTTTGATAGGGAAGAAGAAGGAGAGATAAGGATGATAGACGTTTGATAGGGAAGAAGGAGAGATAAGGATGATAGACGTTTGATAGGGAAGAAGGAACAAATCACACCATTGTACCCGCCAAAAACACACACTGAGGTTTTAGTAAAGGTACATGTATTTTAGTTTATTTGTCAGTTCATCCATCTTCAACTGGGTACTTTCCAATTAGTAGAGACATTTTATGCAAATGACAGCTGTGTGCGCCTAACGAGGTTCAACATCGTGTATTCTCTATGGGCAGAAATGGTAATGTGGAATGAAAAGACAGAGCAGGAGAGTTATGACAGAACCCTGCGAACCTTCACGGGGAATACATCAGTAAAAATCAATAAACATTTTAACTTTTTAATCTTCAACTTCATCAAAAGCGACACACAAAAAGCACCAGTTGACAACAATAGTGAATGAAACTGGCTGAAAGATATGGTAATGACAATGGCTGTCTCTGAGATATGAATTATGCATACAGGTACACCATTGTGGAAGTAGTGTCTTCAAAGACACAAAGAAAGTACCATTTTCTCCTCTGTAATCTTGTCCTGTCTACCTTTGTACAGTCTACTATGTATTAACGCCCAACCCCCAACCCACCCCCCCCCCCAAAAAAAAACCTCCTTCCCCCTTCCACACCACAAACCCCTGTCGTTGTTGAAGTTGTCGTCGCTGTCGTTGTCTTCTCCTTCGTTAGTCTGAACCGATATCTCATCTAGGTATCCGCAAATCATGCGTAAGAGGGTTATCACTTGGCATTGATCGTAAACCATCTAATGTATAGGACAAACGGGTTGATGGATTTCTTCCCCAGACAATTGCTTTGATCAAAACGTTGCTGTCTTCGCTAGATCTGTTCAATACTGAATCTGTCTTGAGTAGAGAGAGAGAGAGAGAGAGAGAGAGAGAGAGAGAGAGAGAGAGAGAGAGTGTGTGTGTGTGTGTGTGTGTGTGTGTGTGTGTGCGCGTGTGTATGTGTGTGTGTGTGTGTGTGTGTGTGTGTGTGTGTGTGTGTGTGTGTGTGTGTGTGTGTGTGTGTGTGAAGGAGTTTGCCTCGGGAACACTATTTTCCTTTTATTTCCATCAACTCTGTTGTCCATTCCCTTTATCTGCCCTTGGTCTTGGCATGTGGTTCAGGCATAACCGTTAAAAGTCTTCAGTGGCTTTCAGGGTCATTGACTGAGTACATTCAAAGTTTCACGTCCCAATCAAAACACTTAGATAATTTAGGAGGCTGACTGCTTCAACCCTATCCTATCTAACTTTGTAACGGGGCTCTCTTTGTCACGAGACTGATAACAAACTTATGTAAAATGAAAACGTTAAAGATTCAGGTTAGGTAAGGTAACAATTTTTTTAAATGACTTTCTCTGATTTGTTTACCCCCTTGATCTTTATGATCAGCTAAATTCAACTTATGGCCATGCTCTAACTGATCATAATCGAGCATTAAACCATAAACCAAAGACATACCAGCAAACAAATGACATACTTAAAAAATAGAGACAGAGAGACACGCACAAACAAACACAGACAACAGCAAAAAAAAATAAACATAAAGACAGACATACAGACAAGCAATTAACAAGAACGCAGACACATAGACAGATGATCTGACAAGCCGGCAGACAAAATAAAAAAGCTGCGACAGACAATCAAGACAGACAGACAGACAGACCGACAAACTGACATAAGGACAAATAGGCAAACGAACGAACAAACAAACAAACAATCAGACAGACAGATTTATACTCACGTTTCGTGCATGAGCTCCCGCTCCAGCCGTCCATACAGCCGGACACGCACGTCCCCGTGATAGCGTTACACAGCTCTGTCGGGTCAGTGCATGAGCACTCTTGAGAGCAGTCCACGCCAAACGTGTAAGGAGTACACACTGAAACGGGTGGCACAGAGTAAATAGTACAGTTTCTAGATTAACGTCATGAGACGGTGGAGTCAGTAGTACTTCAATTTGTTGATTGATACCTAAAAGTTTGTCCATTTGTCTTGATTTTGATTTTTTTAAAAGACACCCATCTACCTTGAATAGAAATTGAGGCAAATGCGAGAAAATGGCCGCTAATGTTAGGGGACTTCCGAAGCTTCAGCTTCTTTTGAAACTACAAATTTACACTTTTGTACGTTTGGTCGACGTTTTTCGATAGAATCCACGCAGAAACGTTGCACTTTTAATGGACATGAGTCAAGAAGCAAGGTCTACAACACTCTTTCGACGGCGGAAAAATTGTCGGGGTTTTTATTTTTCGAATTCACGATGCTTCCCGTATGGTGAAGGTACTTACAGGATGGACTTAGATTAGGACCTAGGAGACAGCTGAATAGAGGAAGAGACTTATCTCAGGAACAGAAGCAGAGATTCAGAGACAGTGAGAGAAAGAGAGGGTGGGGGGGAGGGAGAGAGTGAGAGAGAGGAAGGGAGAGAGAGGGAGAGAGATAAAAGAGAGAGAGAGAGAGGGAAAGAGAGAGAGAGAGAGAGAGAGAGAGAGAGAGAGAGACAGAGACAGAGACAGAGACAGAGACAGAGGGAGAAAGAGAGAGAGAGAGAGAAAAGGGGGGATAGAAAGGGAGGTAGAGAGTGAGAGATAGGAAGGGAGAGAGAGGGAGAAAGATGAAAGAGAGAAAGAGAGGAAAAGAGAGAGATAGAGAGAGACAGAGACAGACAGAGAGAGAGAGAGAGAGAGAGAGAGAGAGAGAGAGAGAGAGAGAGAGAGAGAGAGAGAGAGAGAAAGAGAAGATGGAGAAAACAGCTTAACGTGTTCGTTCGGCTAAAAGTGACATAGATCGATACAATATATTGCTATTATTTTATTTCTAGAACAAAGTGTTCGTACAGGAAATAATCTCAAGATACTGAAGATGAGAGTCCAATATCATCATATTAGTTGCCACAAAACCAGGATTTTTTTTATTTATAAGTTTTCTTGTTATATGAGCTGTTACTATTTGCTGGAGCTTTTGAAAACGCACTATCAATAGCAGACTCAGTTCGGGACTGTCTTTGTCCATCTATTCGTGTCTTCCGTTTCCTTCTCTTCAGGTCATTCTTTCAGTGCGTGTCTTTAATTTCCTTCTGTTCAATCGTGTCCTTCTTTTCCTTCTATTTGTGTATTCCATTTTTTTCTGTTTGCGTATTTCCATCCTCTCTTTCAGTTTATGTATTTCTTTTCCCTCTATATATTGTGTCTTTCCTTTAGTGTGCTTCTATTTCCTTCTTTCCTTTCCTCCTTTCGTTTACTTCTATTTTCCTCTTTCCTCTCTTACTTTCGTAGTTAAAGCACGCTTCTTGTCGATGAATGTTTGTTTTGCAGGACCATCAGAGCAGGCGTAGCTTGCGTCGTGGGAAGTGCACCCTGATTACTACGTGACTGGTACTGGGTTCATTATGCTTCTGGACAAAGACAGGACTGTGAGAATGAGAGAAGAATGTACGGGGATGGGGGGGGGGTAGAGAAGGAGAGAGAGGGGGGAGAGAGAGTGAAATGGTGGAATAAATGGACAGGAAGAAAGCACAAGAGAGGGAGAGAGAGAGAGAGAGAGAGAGAGAGAGAGAGAGAGAGAGAGAGAGAGAGAGAGAGAGAGAGAGAGAGAGAGAGAGAGGGAGGTAGGGGAAGATGGACGGGAGAGAGATAGAGAGTGATGAAGGGAAGGCTAGGGGAGAGAAGGATAATAATAGAAAGAGATAGATGAGAAAGAGAGAGTGAAACGGAGGGGGGAAGGGAAAGAGAGTGAATGAGATAGTAGAGAGAGAGGGGGAGAGAGAAAGATATATAATATAATATAGCGAGAAAAGCTGTGAATGTTTTACGCCCATATCGATACAATTTACATCATTAATTAAGAGACGTGCTTCTTCGATCCTGTTGTTCGTGAAGACCCAGGATGAAAGGAGTGCAACATCCCAACAGAAAGACAGAGAAACACTCGATAAAACTTCCCCTTTGTTTGAATTAAACCATCGTTGTGTTATGTGCTGGACGAAGTGCCCACGATTACTCCACAGACACCGGTACAAATACAAGGAAGAAAACCTCTGAGAGTTCTCAATGTTTGGAAAGATGGACAGACTTTCCACACCCCCCCCCTCCAAATGTATTACATTATATGATCTGCGCATGGCCAAAAGGCCTGCTATATCACTGCGAGGAATAGGCTGGGATAACAACATATTACGATGCAGATAACGCTTAATAGTTATTCTCGTTAGTAATTCATACATCTGAACAGTTCTGCTTTTAGTTCATGTGGAGCATTAAATTAAGATAGGGGCGCTAGAGTGGCACTCTTCAAAGGGGGGGGGGGGGGGTGCGCCCCTTCCTCCTCCAGCTCCGACTCTGGTGGAACGACAGAACACGTCCAAGGTCTCCACCTCCTCCCTCTATGGTTGCAATAAAAATAAGTTTTGACTAATTTGTACTTCTAGTCCGGGAACTATAGTAATAGTATGTAGCCAAGATTCTTACCAAAGACGAAAACTTCGCAGAGGGTTATCTGTCCTAATTTATTGATGAGGCCAAAGTAGCGTCCCTCTGATGGCAAGTCACAGCTGTACTTTGACCTCTTGTGTGACGCAGGAATTCTGGTGCAGGGTTTCCCCCAAAATGTGTCCACATAATCGCTGACGTGTACACGGATTCTCCCTGGTCTTGCCGTCTGATTGGCTGAAGAAGAAAATGAGAACTCATTTAAATATTTGATTTGCAAAATCAAGAAACTGTTATGTTTGTTTCATTTATTGTATGTATTTTTATGTATGTGTTTTTACGCTTTGATTGGAACAGTAGTATAGATCATTAAGGAGGCAGTATGCAACATATTGTTTTAAAAGAACTACGACTGAAAATATATTATTAGTACTCATCACTGAATATCAGAAAAAGTTTTCCTGAGTTAAAAGTCCTAATCTACGATAAAGAAGCAACAGTGTGTCTATTTGTGTGTGCTTGGGTGTGTGTGTGTATTTGTGTTTGTTTGTGTGTATATGAGTGCTTGTGTGTATTCGTGTGTGTGTGTGTGTGTGTGTGTGTGTGTGTGTGTGTGTGTGTGTGTGCCTGTGTTTGTATGGGTACACTTCTGTGAGTCTGTCTGTGTATTAGTGTGTGTGTGTGTGTGTGCGTGTGTGTGTGTGTGTATGTGTGTGTGTGTGTGTGTGTGTGTGTGTGTGTG